GCTAGATAGAAAGCGATTGACAAAAAAGGATAGGTGTCGGTGCTCTGTTAAGCACATTGTTTCATTTGTTGAGTGCAGAACCGCGGTGGTTTACTGTTTGCTCATGTCATGTGGGAAAATGTACATCGGTCAAACGGGCCGGTGCATAAATACAAGGTTAACGGAGCACAAGAGAGCATTAGCTAATAATGCCTACTCGCACTTAAGACGGCATTGCTTGGAATGTGGCTGCTCCCCGCTGTTCTCTGAGACTAAAATTCTTGCCAGCCACAGAGATAAGATGACAAGGGAAGTGATCGAGGCCTTCCACATCGCAAAAAGAAAAGATTACTGTATAAGCCAAGCATCGATTACTTTGAGCGATTGCGAAGTTGGCTTTTTAGAAAATACGTTGTCATTGTAGCACGTGGTACACCGTCTTGTTGTATAATAACCAAGGTCTTTTACGAAATAAACTAGTTGAGAGTGCAGCGGTGTCCCTATCGTCTCTCTTTTGTAAAACGTCGTGCGCTGCTTATTTGTAACCATGAAATATTGATGAGATCTAACAGATAATCATGCCAAGGAAAGTATAGGGGTTGTTTTTAGAAGTAATTGTAATGTAAATGTGAAGAAAGAAAAGTGGAGAAAAAGATAACTTGCTACCAGCAGGAATCAAACCTGCGACCTTCGAATAATGCGTGAGATGCTCTACCACTGAGCTACGGTGGCGGTCAACTCTCCAGGGTACCACAGCGGACAGCCACCATAGTAGCCTACAAGGTGGATGCAGGGTTGACTGCCACCATAGCTCAGTGGTAGAGCATCTCACGCATTATTCGAAGGTCGCAGGTTTGATTCCTGCTGGTAGCAAGTTATCTTTTTCTCCACTTTTCTTTCTTCACATTTACATTACAACCACTTCTAATAACATCTATATATTCCTTTGCATCATTGTCTGTTATTCTCATTGATATTTGATGGTGCAAATCATGCATTCAGTAGTTTGAATTTGTAATTTACAAATACAAGAAAAACCCCCTTTTTGTAGTATCCTTTTAAGCTTCTGTTTTACATCAATATTGTATAGATTAATTGGTCAGTTTAATGTGCTCAGAAAAAGGAAAACTTCTATCAACATTAGTGCTGCTTCAAACTCCACTCACACAAAGAAGGCCAATACATTTTAAAATTCAGTAAAACTTCGTTAGCAAGGACCGACATTATTCACAACAATGTCCTAACTTTTCACATGGTTGTTGCAGTAGGACCTTTAAAATATGCGAAAGAAAAGCTTGTCTTGCTCCGCCCACGCATGTGCACTGAAGGTGTGGTTGTGGAAACGAGCTACGTCATCTACAGTAACACTGATGAAGCTGCGCAACAGTCCAACGGCAGGTTCGCCCCACTCACTGATGTGAACTGCCGCAGAGCAATATAGTTTTGTACCTGAAGTTTACGTATGTGTAGAGCCACTGAAAGTTGAGCAGCTGAATTACAATATTTACCATAATGACAAACAGCTTAGTGCAAAGTGAACAAGGGTCTTATATTAGCCTTCGTGACTAACTTTACTGGCGCGCCACTGTTGGAGGCCATTCTAATTATGCTGCTTTTGCAGATGATGCTCCATGCCGAACACGATGTCACTGCATTCACTCAGCATCTCAAGAAGCCTTGCAGCGGCAGCAACTGTTTTATACCAAAAAATTCTATCTGCGTCCACTTTTGAGAAATCTCACATCGGTCTTCAAATTCAGCGGACTTCAAGCTGTGAATACCCAATCCAATGTAATCTCGACCCTGAAATGGTCCTGACGATTTTGTACAAACACATTGGGCAGGTAAACCAAGTCCCAAGGGTTAGTTAGAGACTAATTTGAGCTTTCTGCATAAACGGTGAAATTTATTACAATGCTTTAAAGCTGCGAATCGCTGCACATAGGCGCAGATCATTGAGACTCGGCCAAACACGTTTTTAACAGCCCATTCACAGAGTGACATGCTCTGGCCACTTGATGAGGCCAGAGCATGTCAGCAGCCATAACACCGTGGCTGCTGATTTGATAGGCTGCCATGGGCTGTACAATGCGCGAAAGTAATATCGGCTGTTAGGGTGGCGGCACCTGTTGGAGCAGATATGAACCACTCCGCGATCTTCTCTCCGTTGCCAGACGGCGTGCATGCTGTCGGGCGCACTATGTGATGGCCTCCGAGACTGCGCACAACCTGTCTGCAGGTGATTTCGAAAGTCTACACTGGTAAAAGGTCAAATTGTCGCGCGCGCTCATGAGAGCTTTGCGATCGCCAGCGTGCCTCATGGTTTGAGGAGGACAGGCATGAGTGAGAAGGCGGGTATAATTGTCGGTAATGGCCCTGGTACACGTCATGTCACTAAATTTATGGTGCAAATGGTTTGATGGTGCTCTAGCCTAAATGCCGACAAAATTTCAAAAAAACGTTTCAGGGTCCTTTAACAATAGAGTTACTAGGGATGGTATTGGTTGGCGATTTTACTCTTCGCTGCAGGTTACATTTGGCTGCTACCAATCGGGCAACAGAACATTTCCGATACAACCATTTAAACAGTGAAGAGCTACAAGCTTTTGTCGGATGTTTATTTTTCATGCTCTTATGCATATGCTTTTTTAATGTATATACATCAAGTGCGCATGATTTTAATTACTAGGCTCAACAAATGTGAAGGAAAGCACAGCTTGCCTCCTTTATGAGGTTACTTTATCTACTAGCGTTAAACATGAGCACAACTCATTATGAGCTATGCTTCCCTTCATGTAATGTTCTTGCTTATAACAAGTGTGCGTGATTGATTTCAAACTGTCCTGTAAAAACGTGACTAGCAGTTGTTCATTTTTTTTTTTGTCAGCACCACTCATACAAAAAATATCTCTAACCATCAATACATATGAGCTTATTCTTTTCATGACTGAAGACATTGAATGGTAGTTATATAAATGATGGGCAATTAGTCATTCACTGAACCAGTCACTTGCTAGTCTTTATCTTTTTAGCCTGAATAAATCAACAATAAAAAATAAATCCCGCACAAAAGGCACTTTAACTTTTCAGGCACACAGAGACACAAACAGATCAAAATGTTCACTCGAACATCTCGACGAAATTAACTAACCTCTAAGAAGCATGTTATTTGGATGAATATTAGTTTTTTTATATATGACCTGGAGAAATTCAGAAGATGTAAAATATAAGCTTAGCTTCACAAGGCAGTGCAAGATAAACCAATGATGACTATCGATATATCCATGCAATTTAAAGGTACAAAGCTGCAAATAATATTGGCATTTGAACACAACATAAACATGAAAATTAAGTAAATATTATGCAAGGCACATTTATTTCAGCCAACGTAACTGGTGTTTTGTTAGGATAGCAGATTGCAAATTACCTTTATAGCTCACGACTGATAATCATTGTTGCAAATAATCAGTCATCTGATGTTCAAGGCAACAGCATACGAATTTGTCCAAGCAAACAACAAGCAAATATTTTTAATCCTCTCAAGTCGGTGTGTTTATCTACAGCCATGCAATGTAAAGATTGGCTTTCAGGAGCTAAGGCAACTGCAACAGATTTTGATTTTACCCATCTGACAAGAAACTGAGCAAAAGGTGTACAGAAATTCATGTAAACTATGATCATAATAGTTGGTGCAATCGAACTTGAGCAACCAAGAGTAGTATGAAGTGTAGAAGATTATGGAACACAAGGCTCACATACAAGACATGCAGTTTGGTCAGGTGGCATTTGTATAGAAAATGACTGTGGAAAGATATTTTCAAATGCAGACATTAAAGTGAAACAGTGTTAAACTGTGATGATTTCTATATGTTAGAAAATAGTATTGGTGGAGGGAAAAACCAGACAGCAAGCAAGGAGAAGCTGACCCCACATGCATTTTAGCCGACCAATCAAAGGGGTGGAACTACATTGACCATAGCTCAAATACTTCACACAGTGCATTACTTTCAATGATCCTGATGAAGGCAAGGCAGTAGCGCAACTACCACACACTCCTCTAATGCAAGATGAATGCTTGGTCAAGTAAAATTGCGTACAAGGAATATAAGGCACGTGAACTACATGTTACCTGTGTGTTAAAGAACTACTGGACACATTTTTGGTATTAAAAAAAGCATTTTTCAGACTGCAGGGGCTTGTATATATTTCAATAGCTGACTAAAGTTCCTCGAACAAAACCACTGAGAAATTTCGTTTAACTTCTGCAACCTTTTCAACGGTGACATAACAGTTAAACTTCAAACTTAACACGAGATTTTGTAAAAAAAAAAAAATGCTGATATATCAAAACCCAGAACAAGCTATTCTGCATATGCCGAAGCAAATTTCAATTAGCATTTGTAAAGTGTTAAGGCTAAGGCTTGCTTTGCAGAACAGCACTGAACCCAAGTCATGCAAACTTCACAATGTTTCTACGGCGAAAATGCGCACATATGCAATGAGACGCATGCAGATACATTCTCGAAACATATTTCAGCATGTTTTGCGTGCGCTAAGACGGGTCGGTAGTTGGCAAATTGAATGCACCTAAAGTAGACCTATTTCACATTATACATTTGCACAAACGAAATGCACTGATAAAGATGCATCGCACAATGCAAAAAAAAAAAGAGAACTAATGCTTAGTTTTCACACACAGACGAAAAAAAAAAAGCGAGAACTGGGCGCGGTTTTGCCCCATTTAACTTAGGACGCCAACAGTGCAATGTGGCTGCCAAGTTCAAAGCCGACGCTCGATAAACCGTCCAGTTTGATTTGAAATTGGTCAGCGCTAGTAGCATCAACGAGAAAACCGCAACGAGCACAGTTCACAAATCGAGACGCATGCAAAAGCAGGCACGCGACATCTCTCGTAGAGCATGCATCTCCCTGCTCGGGGTCGTCCCCGAGCAAACGTTTTAACGGCTAATGGAGAAAGAGAAACTAGAAAAGTTTATCCCTGCAGCAGGGACGCAGCTCACGTCGGCAACGGGTGCAAACTGTCAGGCCAGGTCTGTAGCGGTCCTAGAGGAGACAGCTAGATGCAGCAAACTGTCAACACGAATATCAGCTTGAAGACGCATAAATGGGTCATCGACGGCAGCAGACGTTGAGGGCTCACGACTCCGAACCGTTTTTTCACCCGGCCGGATACAAGGAGCGGCAATTATCAAACATGCACTCGGCCAGTGGACGCCGCAAGAGATAATTGGCGGCCGTCTCGACAACGCATTCGGTATTCCCCTAGGCAATGCAGCTCACTTGGAGCGTAATATTTGACACTTTAGAGATTGGGCACCGCTACTATTACGCGGGTTACTAAACAAACAAAAAATTTCCGTAAGCCTAGTGACTGATACGGTAGCCGCTAGAGTTTCGTTGGCGCTCCGATAGAAAGCGTTGATAAAAGACCTGCGCATACTTGGCTGAAATTTCTCGGCCTGGCCGACGAGACCACATTTTATCGGCCGGGTTGTTTGACACTTCACGTCATAGTCACCACTTTCACTGGACGTATGTGTTAGTAAAACAATAAAAGAGAGAACCATTGCTCTATGATCGCTACCATGGCAGAACGATCGTTAAAAAACATGGCGGCTATGACGCATTGCTATGACGTTGCCTGGTGCTTCTGTCGTCTGCACATGTCTGCAACTGTGGTCTCGCTTTCATCTCTGCTACGTACGTGGGATGTCTAAAATGCATTAGTATCATCTGCATCGCATCAGTGCCGAAAGTTCCTTGCGATCAATGTTTACACCCTTGTCTGCGTCTCCAACCGCTTTTTTTCACTATTTCGGGTCGCTGTCCATGGGCAGAGGCGTCGGCGTAACGGGTGTGCTTGCCTCTATTTGCCGTGCAACTGGCTACATTTTGTTCTAGACATGCTAGGCTTAACATTTCGTAAATAAACTTCCATATTTCGATCACATTATTTACAGACTTGTGCATCAGTTCAGTGCTCATCACTCTTTCTCCATCATGTGTTACAAGCTACAACGATTTCTGCAGATAATGAATGTGAAATTGCCATTTATACGACTGGTAGATAATGATTCCTACGTCGCCTTTGCTTTCGCCGCCACAAAGTAATGGCGAATGCTTTTATTTGAAATCGGGCCTAATTGAGTTTACGATGCTTTTTTTACGTTTCAAAAAATATGTCCCGAAAACCCTAAATAAGTGTTCTCTACCTTCATAATAATTTAATAATTTCTTCTGTAGCAACCTACATCTTAATTAATGTGACTGAAAGCATTAGTTGTGAAGTAATTAAATAATTAACGTTTAATTAGTGGAAACCAGTGGTGAGATCGATTGGGTCAAATGTAAGTCGACTGCACGGGTCATTTAAGATTTTGAAAGTGTCCTCCGGAAATTTCCGGTGTGAAGGAATTTTACCAAATTTACCCGCAAAACCGAAGCGCAGATAAGCGCAACCTGAATGGCGTCACAAGTTGTTCACGAGAACGGCAGCTATAGTTCCGAATTCGTTACCGAATTCGCTCACGAAATTCGATTACGAATATCTTGGCCTACATATATTTCCTTTGTGTGCGCTTGAGTTATAAAAAATAGCTCTATATGCCATAAATTGACAACCACTGCAATTTTGTACGTAGTACAAACACCTGCTTTCGGATCATAGAGTAAAAGGTTATTAAAGTTCTTGTTAATTAGACGCAACGGTGTCAGCGTAACCGCAGCAAAGTATTTCCGGCTCAACGATGAGTTCTTGTGCGAAAACGATACAGCCTTACATTATTGAATTTTTAATTTAAAAGTGTATATTTTCAGGAAATAAACACCCTGTATAGGTGTTATGCATACTCTACAAAAAAAAAAAAACGCTTCATCACTTCATTCAGGGATAGGGGCTCATGAGGACCAAGACTGCCTACTCTTTTGATGGGGCGAATTAGCGGCCGAGATATCCAACAAAGAAGGGGGGAAAATGCAGCTTTGCACTATAGTTGTGCTAAGGTTGAAGGAAGTGCGGAGCTGAGCAGCCTTCTTTGTTTCTCTCCGGTTCTCTCTTTGCCAGTTCTTTTTTTTGTCTTTTCTCTCCATTTTTTCTCTTTTCTTCCAACTTTTTTCCCCTTTTTAATATCATCATTGAAGCACTCGAAGAAGAAGAGGAATGAGATTCTCTTTCATATCAATAAAAAAAAAGAGAGAGAGAGATTCTCTCTTGAGCGAGCGCGCACTCAACAAGCGACGACGACAGCCCGGCCCCGTAAAGTGCTCCGCACTTTTTCTAAGTGGTTATATCAGAAGAAAAGAGAAGTGCCGACCCGTGTAACTGCCTCTCCTCGTGAAGACTCCTCAACAGGTCGGCACAGGAATGGGATATGTGGAATAAAAGATGTAGGAATAATAAGATTGGAGAAGCGAGAGAAAAAAGTGAGGGTCATTCGATCTGTTTCCCGCAACGGACTCATAAGCCCCAACGCGCCACCGACTATAGGAAAGCCCCCAAGGAGGCCGGAGAAGTATATGTATCGTCGCCGCAAGAAGGAAGACAAACGGGCCGTATTGGCGCGTTGTACAGAGTGCGTGAAGCACTCACTCAGGTGCGTAGCCTCTGCACGGGAAAAAATGAGGTCACTCACTAATAGAAGTCTCGTAGACCTCGATGGGGACTGCCTCCTGGTCAGTCACAAGCAGCGCTGAGGTTTCGAAGAAGGTGATGACAGCAGCGTTCGCGCGTTTGACCAGACATGCGTGCACACGGGGGAAGAATCGCGTCAACAGTGGTGGCGGAGAGTGCCCGTTTGCTATGAATGAGGCTGGTTAGAATTATTATGTGGTGCTATAGTATGCATGATGCACTGCAACACGTTATTCTTGAGTAGCGCCATAAAGAACTTTGAACACTGTAGCAATATCGAGTGTTGAAGAGTAAAATATGATACTGTAGGTACACTCTGTGGCCAGGAAATTTTTATTGTGCCCCCTCCCCCGGGTGGGCCAAATCCAGAAGACAATATCACGATGGCCTGCCTTTGTTCCCTTGGCTTCTTTCCGGAAGTAAGAATGGGAAATAAATGCACACGCCTAGGCATACAGGGCGAAATTCGCCCTCCCCCCTCTCCTTCTATGTGATTGGAGGTTGGGAGGGGGGGGGGAGGGTGCACCCACGTGTCCCCTTTGTGCTCACGCCTGTGTGGTTACAAGCACGCTTCCGACTTCGGCAGGTCAGTCGCTTGTTGGGAGGAGAGGTGAGAGGATTACACACCCAACACACAGTTTACACACAGTAAATCAACCAAAGTGAATCTTTATACAGAGTTTTTTAGAAGGTTCCATTCTTCCACTGTTCGTGGAAAAAAAAAAGAAAATTTAAATACATCTGTCCGTGCAAAATAAGGTGTTAGGGTTCCGGGGTGATGGTGTCTCGTATGCCTTGTCGATATGGGTGTCAGGTACTGTGTAGGGTCTAGTGCTGTTTGTCTTTGAAGAAGTTGGGAAAGAAAATTAAGCCTAAATGTCTTCCGTCGTGACTCTAGGAGTTCAATGCCATTAGCTCTAATTAACTCAGAAGGTGAATCAGTGTGACGAAACTTAGAGTATATATACCTTACAGCTTTCCTTTGGATTCTTTCTAGTTTGTTGACGTTTTTCTGTGTGAACGGGTCCCATATTATGCATGCATATTCTAACTTTGGTCGGATTATGGATTGGTAGGCCAGGAGTTTGACATCAGGAGGAGCGTTTTTTAATTTGTGTCGTAAGAAAGACAGTTTACGGAAGGCGGAAGCGGAGATATTGTCAATATGTTGATTCCAAGATAAATTACTTGTGAGTGTTACTCCTAAATATTTGAACTCAGAAACTTGCTGTAGATGTGACTCATTTAATGTATAAGTATACTGAAGTGGATTTTTATTCCGGGTTATACGCATGCATACAGTTTTATCTAAGTTCAAAGCCATCCCCCAGCGATTACACCATTTAAAAACATTAAACAAACTGTGATTAAGGTCATGTTGATTTTCCGGGCAAGTAATTTCATTATATAAGACACAATCGTCTGCGAACAGACGAATTTGCACAGATGAACATACCACACTTACAATGTCATTTATATACAGCAGGAACAGTAGGGGTCCCAAGACACTCCCCTGCGGTACTCCAGAGGCGACAGGAAGACAACCCGATCGCTGATCCCCAATTTCTACGTACTGAATTCGGTTTTTTTAAATAATCAATAACCCAGAAAACTAAGATGCGGGGAAGACCAATATTGTTCAATTTTAGTATTAGTCTGTCATGAGGAACCCTATCAAACGCTTTACTAAAATCCAAGAATATCGCATCAGTTTGACCGTTCTTATCTAGAGTAGATGCAAAGGAATGACATATAGTGAGCAGTTGAGTCACAGTTGAAAACCCTTTTCTGAAACCATGTTGAGAATCAGTTAAGACAGCATTTTTTTCAAGATATTCGGTGATATGATGCGCGATTATATGCTCAATTAATTTACAGCATGCTGATGTTAAGGATATTGGGCTATAATTTTCAAAAAGCAAGCGGTTACCTTTTTTAAATACCGGTGCAACTCGGGCTGCCTTCCAGTCACTAGGGAGCTTTGAAGATATCAAAGATACACGGAATATAATCACGAGATATTTCGCTATAACTTCAGCATATCGGCAAAGAAAGGTGTTTGGAATATTATCAGGACCACTTGATTTCTTAGTTTTCAGTTTTAAGAGCATGGAAAATACACCCGGGTACGAAACAAAGTCAGCCTCTGTCGTGTGAAACGATGGAACATCAGATGGATATACACTTGGGCTAGTAAACACGCTATGGAAGTATATATTGAAATGCTCAGCTATAGTCTCTTTGTCCGTAACAATAGATTCATTTACTAACATTTCGGATACAGTCTTTTTTTTATCCGTCAAGTGGTACCAAAATTTTTCAGGGTCATTTTTTATGAAGTTTGGGAGAGTTGTTTGGAAATAATAATCCTTAGAAGAACGCACAGCTTGTGCGAGGCTAGCCTGTAATGGTCCAATTTTAGTCAAATCCGCACGCTTCTTTTTTAGACGTTTAATTTTACGTTTCAAGTGAATAATACTACGCGTTATCCGTTTTCTTTTTTTCGGCTTGGGACAAATTTAGCTAAACAGTGTTCACACATTTTTTTTTAAACTGGGCCCAGAGAGCGCATACGTCATCATTGTCAAAGGCAACAAGACCGGTCTCCAGATAATCAACTATGGACGCGTCATCTGCGCGGGAGTAGTCTTTGAAAGACCGTACTTGACAGCGTTTCTTATCACCACGTTTCAACAGTGGGACGGAAAGGCCCACAAGATAGTGATCAATTTTAATTTGTTGAAAAAAGAATACCCGAGAAAACACGATTGATTTAAAGACAAACGTCGGGTGAGTGCGAATGCTTGTAGTCAATCAGATACATTCATTCCTAAAGTATGACCTCGTGGTTTGCACGTATATCACCTTATCGATCACTCCTGCTTAACGAGCCCGTTTCCTTAAAAGATAGCGATACGGAAGGTTGACTCATTGCAGCCACGTCTTCATCTCGATATGCAATACGCCTCCGCCACTACTCTTGCTATTCTGTTGCAATCAACAAACAGGATTTAAGTGTCAAAAACTCTCACTCGAAACTAGTGACTTGCCAAGTTAGTGCGGTTCTTTCCTAAGGAGTCAATATTGTACTCTAATCACCTTGATGTAAATTAATAGACCATTATATCGGGCAAGTTGGCATGAATGCATCTTGGCCCGAAGCGTAAAGCCACATGTAGTATGATAAATAATAATCTTATAAGGCACCATAAGGCACCATCAATTATTCACGTGTTTTATTTCACAGCCTGACTGGCGACTGCACTGCTCCCGGAAATTCCATGGGTGAGAGGGAATGCGCGTTAGGCATACGAAAATTAGTGTCGAGTCACATTGAAACAGAAGATAACATGTGCAAACACAGAGCCGTGTTTTAGGAATGAGAAGTGTGTCTTACATTGAGCACGCACACTCGCTAGATGTCTCCGTGTTGGTGTTTTTTTTTTTTTTCGTCCAGATTCAGTCGCACAGCTTTATAAATAATGTGGAGTCCCGCTTCTATCCACAGTACTGTACAATTCTTCGAGCGCCACATCGAAATTTCATGTTAGACTCTATGGTATGGCCAAAATGTGGTTGGTATAGATGTTCTTCTGTGCTCCCGATGCAGCTCAGCAGTTTCATAATTATTCAAATCCCGCGCGCTTTTCTTTGTGAGAAACTAAACTGAAAACGGTTACGGAAGCAAATACATTCCTAAACGCCCTAGTAAATTCCGCCATGAAAGAGGTTGCGTTAGTTTATGAACGCTAACAGATTGGAGTATAGTGAAGTTCTACTTGCATCATTAACTGACTTGTTGAGATCAGCTGGAACGACACGAACAAACGCCGCTGCATAATTGTTGAGTGAGTTCACCCACCTTCGCATTGTCAAAATTTCCTCGTAATTTACAGCGCTGGATCCTAAACGTAAGCGGTAAATCGACCACTGCCATCGTTAGAGTTGTTTATATGTCCCGCGCGCATGCAAGCGCACGCCCGATTCTTGTCATCTCATGCCGGCCGCCTGTCCGTCCTTTATTGGCATTGTGCCTACTGAACAGCGGCCATTCCTCCCATCATTTTAACCGCGAAACATTTTAGCCATGCCTATACGCAAATCGTCCTTTGGCCTTTCTCTCACCCACGGTCGCGCTCTCACCAACGTCAGAGAGGAGCCGGGACAAGAGAGTGACATGTCCATAAAACCGATGAGAACAAAAATTGGACGCAACGAAAGCGTCCTCTGGATTCTGGCAGCAGTTGTACAAAAATTAGAAAATTATTATTTTACTATTACTAAAAAAATTTCAATATAATTTGCACTTAAAAGCTTATTAAAACAAATAATAACAAAAATATTGTTTGTATAATTTACAGTTGCGTATAAAACGAAATAGTTTTTAAAGCACCAGGGCGTTTTGATATGGCGGCTGGCCGTTCGCATAGCAGACGACACCATCGTCGTCTGCTTCAGCATCATGGCTGTCCCCCCTGCTTGTTAGAGCAGCTCCCTGACTCAATTTATCTCGTTTGCATATAGTACACTGCAGTAAACTACTTACTAGAAGCTCACAAGTATGCTGAATACTTACTTTAGTAAGTGAGCGATTCCGTATTCAGGCCGAGCGAAACGACAACGGTGGTCACACAAACTTGCAGCAATAAATTGTTTTATAGCAAGTCAATCGATGTTTACATGAAATAAAGGTTACGTAAGTAACGTTTTAGCATGTACAGCAGTGAACAATATGCATGCATCAGATAGCGGGTACGTACGTACTACGCATAGCCCCAACGCAGATGCCCGGAGCACAGAAGCTGTCCAGCGCTGCACTGATATATACATCGCACTCCCCGAAAACTGCACTGCAGTAAGTTATACGGCGAACGTTCCTGCATTTCTGTAGCTGAAGATATTGTAACACCTCGTTGATAGTATTCGGCAAACTTTCTGTAAATATTATCAACGTGTCCGCCTGCCTTTCACGAGCAGTGCAGCCCGACTGTTTGTTTTCGGGTTCCCGCTGCCAGCTAGAGTGGGCCGCTTTCCAATCTTCCACGCATTGGCACTATTCATGCTTATCAATACTTAGAATTATTTGAGAAGCAGTTTTTACTTATAAGTCTTACAAATAAAATCGTCAAAAAAGAAAGAAAAGATTAAAATGACGTTTTATTTGCCGCCGCTGGCGGAGCGCTGTTGTCGTTTCGATGGTGACGACGCCTTACGGCGTGGCTGCAAAGCTCGCAACATGCCACTGGCATGACCAGGAAAACAACGAGGAGGCCACGTCACAGTAGACAGAAGCCAATCGCGTTGCGACCTGCGGGGGCAATGAGCGAGCGCTAGAAGGTGGGAAGGCGCGACGGTGGAGAGGAGCGAGGGTAGAGAGTGCGAGCAAGAGATGTTCTGTGAGCACTCGAGGGCACGAGGGTGATGGCAGCAGCAGAATGAATAGCGTGCTGCTTGCGCCAGACGGGTGAGTGTGCGCCGGTTGAGGGAAGCTTGTCTCGGCCTGCCCTGTGTCGTGAGTTGTGATCGTGGCGGTGAATCGGCGCGAAGCTAGCTCAACCCGCTGCAGGCATCAACGTCGCCGACGTTATGTCCAAGTGAATATATGGCTTCTGGTTGTACTACATCTAGGAAAGTGGCGTGAGGTGTGTGTGCCTATGCTGTGCGACCGCCGCGATGATAGGTTTAAATCTTCGAGTCACCGGGCACTGTAACCAGGGTGGCCGTAAATACATGGAAGATGCCTTCGTCGTCGCATACCAGCAGACCAAGGACAAGACAGACCTAGAGTACGCGTACTTCGGCATCTTCGACGGTCACGGCGGTCGTGAAGCCGCGCTCTACGCCAAGGAGCATCTTCTAGACGCTATTGTTAAACAAAGTGACTTCTGGTCAAACAACGATGAGCACGTGCTGCGTGCCATCAAGCACGGCTTCCTCACTACACATCTTGGCATGTGGAAAGAAGTCGGTGAGTACTTCGTGTTGTGTGTTTTCCCTGTGCCCGTAGTCACATCCATTCGAGCAGCCGACGCTGCTAGGTCACGGGAAGCGGGTTCGGCCAACGGCGTTACCGTGATGCAACTCACCCGCTGAGCTAGGCCTAAGACCGATTTAGCAGCTGGGCTTTTCCGTCGCGAGCAACGGAAAAGCTGAGTGTTTCCGATACCGCGGCTACCTGCGCGTCATCTGCTTTTCCTGTTGCTGCTTGCCCACACGACCGATGTGGTTGCCTTTGCAATGATGGCAGCTGAAATACGTATATCAATGAAACAAACAAAAGTTCTCGCAGGCTCTTGTGCGTACTGCGGGTCATGATCCTACCGAAAAAAAAAAGCGCCTTGTTTAAATTTCAGAACGAAGTAATGTGTGCCATGTCGCACGTTTGTCGGAATCTTGGTGCGCGTTAATTTGAGTCCATAGAAATCGTAAACGATTGCTGTAGCAACAATTCGTGCAAGTGGGCGCACCTCGGTGTTCAAGCTTTAAATAGTGACTGTTGTTGGTTTGAGAGTAGGTCTGTTTGACTGTGGTACTTCGTTCATCAACATCATATTCCTCACAAAGAACTGACACTGCCGTGGTTCTGTTCTCATAAAGTGCCTATTACCCTTGTATTCAGAAACGCTCCTTGACTTGACGTTTACTTGCCACCGCCTTCAATGCAGCACAAACGCGTTTCCAACGCGCTGGTTTGAGGTGGTGGCACGCCAAGTCAGGAGCATTTCGACTACGGCGGTTAGTTAGGAAATCCATAGAAGTAGCTTGTCGCAAGTCGAAGAATCGTCCAAAATTTGCGTAGTGTGCTGAGATGGCGAGAGACCGCTGGCAGGTGTGCAAATTAGAGGGCATTCCTGCCACCACCGAGGCAAGAGTTCTTGGTGGCGGCATTCCCTGGCCGTGTGCGCTTACGGCAGCCGGGAGAGGTGCAACTCCCGCTCCTCCACCCCTTCGAGGCCGCCAACCCAAACCGGCTGGACCATCGCGGCGGTTACTACTACTACTAGAAATACGACTATGGCTGTAACTTGTTCTGGACATGTAGCGTACTGCTTCAATAAATTATGTGTAAACTTCTTAATTTTGCTCATTACAATGACGAATTTCCTTTTGTGGGCATCCAACAAATCACATTTAGTGCGGCTTCCACACGACCCCTCTCTTTGTTGGGAAATTGGACTTTTACTTCAAGAAGTAACACCATTTTGTAATGTTTGGACTGCTGAAGTTTCATAGTGCTTCATTTGTGTATGTGCTATTTGAGTTTTGAACACTTGTGGCCAGTAGCTACTTTTATTGACTTTGCTTGAACTCCTGTTCTTTTCATGCTTTTGCAACAGGCAAGTGGCCCAAGACTTTGTCGGGTTTGCCAAGTACATCAGGCACGACTGCAAGCATCGGTTTTATTCGAAGGGGCAAGCTGTTCATTGGTCACGTTGGAGACTCACGTATAGTTCTTGGAAGTGAAAGCATGGGTAAGTTCATAACAGCCTGATGTAACAAAGAATTGAAAACGTGGCACCATAATGACGTTTTCTCACATAAGATGACAGCAGTCTTGCTCTAAACATGTCCTGCAAATCTTTTCTTCGGGATTGGTAACTTATAGTATAAGAGGTATACACCTAGCTTGGCCTGTCAGTGATGCCAGCCACAAGGTTGTTCAGTGATGACTGTCTGATGTCTCGTGAAATGATGAGAAAAATAATCAGAACAAGAAGCGCGGCCAAGCTCTTTGGTTATGACCATGCAATGCCATACAATGACGACACCACGCACGAGAGCAGCTATGATGGCTGCCACACTAGTGCTCCTTATTAATGATGTCGTGCGAATATTTCCTACAGATAGCTTGCACATGAATGCAGCTTCTGAAGATACTAGCAATCCACAATGATGGCTTTTATGAGAGACAAGTTGCAGTTAATCTGTTTCAATGTCACAACGGCGTGACATGTAATATTTCAATTACATTAATGCGACATTGCAAACGTCACTCTCATCACTGTTCGTGCTTAAACAGTGATGTCAATGCAAGCCATCTATATGAGTGAATGTGGCACCTTTCCTTAAAGGGATACTTAAAAAAATTTCTGCTGCCAAGATATTCAATCAAATTGAAAGACTGGTTCCTGGAAGAGATAGACACAACGTTCATTTCAAGCAGAAACTACAGGAAAATAATCATTTTAATGCATTTTCCACAAACTGCAGTGTCTAGCAGCTGTGCCATAAGCTAGAGGTGGTGACATCACACGCCTGAAACAGGCAAGCCAATGTCCCAGCCATTGACCATGTCTCCTTGCTGGGGTAGGGAATCAGTGCTTTTGTGGGAGGGGGAGAGTGGGATGAAAGGAGAGGTGAAGAAAAGGAAACAGAGGATAGAAACATGTGCACCCTGCCTGTGCCTTGGCAATTGTGATGTTGTGCTGCATGCTGTCAACAATTCATCAAAAATACAGCCAACTGTTCGAAAGTACAGGAAATTAACTCTGTTTATCTCAATGGTTACATCTTCTGAATGTATTTTTGAAGTTTTCATCAGTTCTTATCATTTTTTTTGTTCAGTGTCCCTTTAAATGCATATCTGCAGACGTTTGTAAAAGCAGAAACATAGGAAGCTCATTTTTCCAAGTGGAGTGTTTTTTGTCTGTTGTCTGAAGTAATTCTGCTAGATGATTTACTTCAATGGGGATGTTGAACAAAGCAACATCAGTATCTCCTTTGGCTTGTCACCCATTGGAACAATAGCACACACACGCTCAGAGGTGAATACAGTTGAACCCCATTAGGACTAAGTCACAGCCGGAATGAAGACAATGTCGTTATGCTGTGTGCTTATTATCAAGGCAAGTCTGTTCGAATGTTGTCTTGGTGTGAATTTCTCATTTACCTAATTATATATCTGATAACTTGTTATATTTGTCTTCATTATGTGAAAGTTTGACTGTACAATAAGTCATCAAGGATGTTGACGAGTAGCCGCACTAATGTGCTGTTTCACAATTGGTTGTGTGCAGGTGGGGAGAACTGGTATGCGCAGCCACTGACGCATGATCACAAGCCTGAAAACCCACGGGAGAAGGAGCGCATCCACAGTGTGGGTGGCCTGATCATGAACAAGTCTGGGGTGGACAGAGTTGTTTGGAATCGGCCTTGCGTCGGTCACCGTGGCCCTGTCCGGAGGAGCACCCACTTTGACAAAATCCCCTTTCTGGCTGTGGCAAGATCATTGGGTGAACATCTTGTTCAATATGTGTGTGCTAATGGGCTTTCTGGCAATTATTTGTAAAACGAGAAAGTATACAGGGTACATGATAAAATGAAAGGGGGAACATAGACAAGCACTGAGAGGCAGTTGCTTGTTCATGTTCTCTCTTTTAGTCCATTCTTGTGGAGTGTTCTTTTTTTACACTAGGAGCACCCTGTGCAATCTTTTGTTCAGCCAGATTTCAGCTCCACATTACAGCTGTTCCATCCCATTGTCATCTTGGCCATATACAGAACCATTGTAGACTAGAGGCTGATAGAGTACGGTCAACTACAGGCACATGCTGGTCCTTGCGGTGTTTGTGTCTTAACCACTGAATGAAAGCATGACTTTTATGGGTTAGTGCTTTTGTATAATCCAATGTTACCTGATAAAACAATTGTTTTGTATCTTCTGGGCCCAGCCATGGCACCAGTGAAAGAAACAGACTGATAAGAACTGTACAGGTTGAGCAGACAAAACACCATTTGCAGACATGTCCAATTCGAGTATCTTGCTGTTAGTTCTGTGATCTTGAGCCTTATTTAGTGCACATAATTTTTACCAGCTCCTGTTGCTCTACTTTGTCTGATTATTACAATCCCCCTACTTTGGAAGGATAGTCGACTGGTTAAAGGCCCAAGGTAATCATGCAAACTTGGCGTGGTGTTTCACCGTTTCTTTGATCTGTGTCTGCAGGTGACCTGTGGAGCTACAACTACACGGCAGGCAAATTTATAGTGAGCCCAGAGCCTGATGTCAGTGTTGTGAAGATTGACACACGACGAGACCGCTGCATTGTCATGGCCTCTGATGGCTTGTGGAACATGGTGGACATCTCCGAGGCGGTTCGGTATGTGCAGCAGGCAGAGCGGGACAATGAGCATGCATTCCTCGAAGCTGCCCAGGCTGGCTCGGTGAGTTCGTTTTTCACGAGAACCAGTTATGGGACCTCATGAATTACGTTTCAAACTGAAACTGCATGCAGCGAAGAACATTTTTGTGGGGAACATGTATAGTTTTTGCTTAACAGGCAAGCTGCATTGTTGCTGGCTGCAGTACCAATCAAGCAATAACATTTCGCAAGCTGATTCAGGGAGTAAAATATAACGTTTTACTAGCTTGTTCAGGAAACAAGACCTTACATCCAACTTATGGTTGTTGCATTTTGCACAGGTGTCTGATGACCCCATTTTCTTAGACAGCCACTCAACGGGCCCCATACCAAATTTTAGTTAGACTGTGGAAGTTGTTTGGTGTCCGATGAAGAACATTTTGCCACAGAAATTTTCTTAGTCAGTTCATTACGAGCTGAGAAAACGGTATTTTTGAAGCAGTGTGAAAACGAAGATGAGAGGAAGCAAGCTCGAAACCCTTGCTGCTCCTCAGTGTAGCCTTCGCAAGCTGAATCTGCCCTACCCTCTCCGGCATCCAACCAAAAGGTCACGTGTGTATGGCACGCCCGAACAAGCTTAACCCCCGTGCACGCGAGCAGTTTTTTTTTGTCATTGTTGAGCAGCTTTGTTTTGAGGTCTAGTGCCTGTTTCTGCGGGATGGTTTGGAAACGCTGACTGAGACGCAGTAGAATAGATGAGCCCAGTGAGTGCGCGAACGGGTAGGAGCGTTCTACTGCTGTCGTCTGCTCGATGCGCTGACCGCGGAGACACAAACGCATGCGAAACGCTGGCACATTAGCCCCGCATCTCGTCGCAATTCATGGGAAAAAAGGGAAAAAAAAATGCTCACATTTCCTTATTGCATCTGATTATTTATCTAGAGATTTATTAATTTCTTCAAGCAACAAATACATAATACTCATTTCGTGTTAAATACTTTTTGCCATGTCACGTGCCATTGTTGGCAACGTCAGATCACAGTTGTCTACGTACAGGACCAATGTCACTGCATTGCCGTGTACGTAGGGCCATTCATAGGCGCACGTCATGCCCTCATTCTCTGGGCGGGCGCCCGCAAAAGGAATGGGGAGCAGCGTTTATCTTAAAATTTGACTCATTTCCGCCGCGCGTGGCGTTGCGAATTCTGACAGACGTGATCGTGAACGCCTCATCTACTCATTGCGCTGGTGAGCACAAAATTTTCAGACCTGGTGAGTGGCCCTTTAAGTGTTATTCAGAAATTGCAAGCTGGATGAGGATGGCTGCATTATGAAATCAATTTATTGATCCTTTCAGAGTGTTAAGGAATATAAAACAGGCGAATTCAGGCATGCTTTTCATACTTTTTGCCGTGCTTTCTTGGCTAACAGCGAGGACTATAATGAATGGCCAGATCTCACTGGCCATTCATTATGTACAACTAGCTTCTTTTTTGCAATGGACAATTAGACTGAAACTGCTGGTTTGGCAGTATGCTTTGTTTTTCTTTGTTGCACTTACAAAGGAAACAGGCCTCTTAGATATATTGTTGCTGGACGAAAAGGTCTTGTACTATATTTTCATGATGTATGTACAGGAATCGTCGGCAGGCATACAAAATGGAGCCCAGTTCGCTCGAAAGATCTCTAAGCATTGCCCTCTTCCCAAGTGAAGAAAGGTTTGCGAGAAGCTTACCCTACTAGCAAGACTGAGGAGGGACATGACCTACCCTGCCACTGCCGCCGTGCACGAACATATTACGGCCGAGTTCGTTGACTAATAAACCCAAGATGCCGCAAAGTGGGACAATCACCGGTTTGCGGGCTGTAAAAGGGTAACTCTGAGGGACTGATACAGAACACATATTGGTGGAGTTTCGACTGTCAGGCAAATCTATGGGAGTACCTAGTCGGCATAAGCCAGAGATGGATTTGCATGTGGTGTGGCAAGTGGTGGAAAGGCAGCAACGCGTGGCTTGTGCTAGACAGAAAGTCAAGTCAAGTTTATTAAATAGTTCAGTTGAGTTACATGGTTAGCGTTATTACAGCAGGAGGTCCCAAAGTTTCAGAGAAACTGACAGGGGGACCTCCAATGGCTACATAGATGGGGTAATTACAAAAAATACAGCAATAGTATACGGACTTGTGAGTAATAATGGATAAGCTTGATTAACAATAACAATACGATCAATACACAACATAATGGTAATACTCACTATTGAAAAATAACAAGGAAATAGTCAAAAGCAAGTGAAGAGAAAAAAAAAGGCCTGGCGGCATAGCCATGGTCACTAGGTTGCCGATTAAAGGCGGTTCGCGGCGCGGGCCTGGCAAATGCGCTACGTGGAGAACAAGGTGCCAGAGGGGAAGGCACTCTCGATTCCTACACCATACTGTGTTAATCTCTGGCGCTTCATAGCAGTATGTGCAACATAAAGTGTATAAAATTTCAGTGTAACAAATGTTGTCTTTCCCCCTTTATTCCACATTGTTTATGCAGCAAGATTACCAGGTGTACAACCCTTCCAAGATGTTGGTGGATGAAGCCCTGTACCGCTGGAACCGTTTCCAAACTCGTGCTGACAACACAAGTGTGGTGACGGTGATGCTTGATCCAGCAGGCCCCTCACGTAGCGAGGTGCTCCTGCGTCAGCGATATCTGTACAGACTGCGGCCTAGGGAGGAAGCGCGAGAACCACAAGCACCGCCATCACCAAAGCCTGGGTTCCTTGCTCCCGATGGTGAGGGACAAGCATTTTGCACAGCGGAATAGCTAAGCATGCTGCCCTGTTGGCTCCTAGCCATAGCTCATGCTTTATGTACTTGTGAACAGCTTTCTAGGCTATGAAGAAAAGGCTACAGCACTGAAGCAAGCCTACGCCAGTGCTGTTAAATATAGAATTGTGCTTTCATTTTTTCTTATGAAGAAAATGTGGTACGTAACTGTTTTGTTTTATATACTGCATGTAACTTGAGGTATGTAGCACTAAAATTCCACTCTAAAATGCATTCAGCTGTATCTTTTGTGAGAGTCAATCAAATGAATACCGCAAATGTTTTGAGGAAAATTGTTTGAAGTAGTGCCTAGTGTTGCATATGAAATCTATGGAAACCCCCTTGGTGACAGAGAAGTTGAGAAAGAAAAAGAAGACAACCACACATTTGATAAAGTGGGAAACCACTCTTTTGGTGTTTGGCAATTTTTCGGCAACTAGGAAGCTTTTCTTTCTGAGAAATCTGTACAGATATACTTGTGGCTTTGTGCTACTAACGGGTGGTTGTCTTCTTTTCCTTTCTTAACACTTCCGCCACCTTGCAAGTTTCAGCAGAACTCATTTGCAATACTTGTGTCCATGTGCTTTGAGTTTTCAATGAATTCGCCCTCGCGCTGGCGATCGCTAGCTTCCTGGTTAGCCCAATTGGTAGAGCCACCGGTGCAGAAAGGCATTGGTTCCGGGTTTGAACCCTGTACCAAAACAAATTTTTCGGAAATTAAGTGGAGATGCTACTCGAAAACACCTTTTTTTTTTAATATTCACCCTAGAGCAATGAAACTTGAGCTGTTTATGGAACTTTGTATGCTGATTTCTAATATATAATTAGTTTTCTTGCAAGTTGCACACTTCTAGCTCTGCAACATGACAAAGTGAAAACCTTAACCCTTTTGCCCCCCTCTTTTCATCCCTAAATTTCTGTAATTTTTTACCATTCATAGTTCATAATGCTTCAAATAAAGCATAGGGTGCAAATAACTAATTAGGAAGCACATACAAAATATGTAATACGTTTGAAAAATAATAGACGTAAAAAGTCCATATTTCACCTACCCTAGTAAACACATACATACATATTTTTATTATACAATAAAATATTGATATTTGAGCTAGATAATTGCATTTGTCATACTTTGGAAAACATTTGGGCGAAATTTCATGCAGATCCGAGCACTAGAAGTGTCCGAAAAAGGAGGGGCACATTGGAAAAAATGGCGAAATTTGTGTTCTGAGAAAAACGAGTTTTAGAGTTAAAATTGAGTTTTTATTTATGAAAAATATCAAATCAGATGAAATTTGCACACCAAAAAGAACAGTCCTTCTTGTAGTGGCCACTGCATCTAAAATACGCCAGCACCATGAGTTTGTCTCATTCGGCTTTTTCGAGCCGACTCCTCACAGACATTTCGCTCACAGACAGGGCCATGAAACGCTTGCCAAACTTTCGCTCCATCTAGCAGAGCCTTGTGCCAACTGCAAGGTAGGAAGAAGTTCGACAGGACTGCGAAATCCAAACTAAGTCCAGTGTCATGCCATTTTGCAACCATGCTTGTGCCACATACCGTCGTACATAATGGCAATGTCGTCCCTGCTAAGTTCTCTCACTGCGAGCTCTTTCGACCACTCAAGATTGGCGCTGACGTCAACCATTGCCGCATCACGAACTTTCCGGCTGACGGGTGTGAATGACTTTTGATGCATTGGCTTTTGCAAGCCAACAACTGCCGCAAATCGGACCAGCTGCTCATAGCCTATTCCTACATAGCGCGCCGCACAACGGCTTTCACTTGCGAGCTATGCTTTTTTTTCATTCATAACGGAGATAATTACAAGAGAAAAGCGTTGTTCAGCTGCGCTGCTCGACAAGACATGGACCCCGCAAATAGGTTTCACAGCGCATACAGGCGGGCAGCGACCAATGGTGGTCCCAGATTCGTACCATGTGATAAGCCAGTCGCGGCGCTCCAAAAACACGCAGAACAGTGCTTCTTTTTATTATTTCTTGCGCTGCATCAGCGAGAGAAACTGTTGGTATTTGAAGAGTGAGGCTAGACTCTTCGACTTTACGAACAATGGCAAGCGGCGGCGCATTATCGACTGCAAGGTGCTCGAAGACTGCACACTTTTGATCTTTTAACAGGCACCTTGTGCTCTTTAGATGCAATTTTAAAGCATTTCCAGTTAAGTCTCGACCTGTATTATTTTTTTCATAACAGGAGAGGTACTAATCTTATCAAAACAGGCGAAAATAATAGGTAATTTTGAAAAAAATTCGTGTTTTTCGACTCGCATTTCCCCTTAGGAAGCTTTCCTTTCTGAGAAATCCATACGGATTCCCTTGTGGCTTGTTGCTACAAACGGATGGTTATCTCTTTTCCCTTTCTTAGTGCCTTGTGTTATGCTTTTCTCGCTATTATAAAAGCAATTTTTAAAAAGGGGGGTTGATGAAAGAAAGAAGAAAAGCAAAAGAACTACGAGGCACAAAAGCAAAGAGGTGTAAAAATATGTAAAAGTCAGTTGTGATGAAGTGCATGCAGCTTTATTTTGCTGCTCTAAAAATTGCTCCAAATTCTGTTTCAGCTGTTTCACCCCTGCCTATGTTTGAGGCCTTAGGCTGTATTGAAAGAGTACAATGAAACTGATGAATAAGTGAAGGACACACGTAACTCAATACGAATTCAAGTATGGGATGTCTACAAACATTGTTTAGCCCTAATCTTTGTTCTTCTAGCTTGACTTCTTAGCCAAGAAAAGTCTGAAAATATAAATGACCTTGTTAAGAAGCCTCTAACAAACAGCAGGGTCTGAAAATATAAATGACCTTGTTAAGAAGCCTCTAAGAAGCAGCAGGAATAAGAAACTGGAAGCTTGCGGGGAAAAAAAGATTGGTTCTGTGCTCGAGCTGGCGTTTCGACACAGCCCCTTTTTATGGACCTTGTTAAGAAGCAGTTATCCAGATTGACATACTGTCTTTTGCATGGTGTAAGCTAAGCAGGTAAAGATGCACATTTGACTTCCTTGAGTTCAACTTAAAGGGCCAGTAAACAACTCCGAGGCCCAAAAATTTTAATGACAAGGAATATGCACACTTTGACTATGTGAACATGCTGCCGCAAGAATTTTGTGAATACATGCAATAATAATGAGGCTACAGGGATGGCTCTTTATCTCAGAGGCCCTCGTTCTGGCTGCCACTTCTCCCGGAGTCTCAGGCTCTACAGAACGGCAAAGGGCAGCACAGAAAAATGAAAATGTGCACTGCGCGGTTGAAACTGTATCACTGGGGGGCCAAGGCGCCATTTCGTATAGCAAAAGACCAATCGACGAGCTCAGTAGTACGTAACGTTGCCCATGGACAAGCTTTCGTCAGACTGCGCGTACAAGGGATTTTGATCAGGCAAGGGAAACAGGCACAAGAACGTTTTTCGAAATGGAGGGTCTGTAACATTCGGCGAATGTGATCGCCGTGGTCTACTCGATGAATTGGTGAGCTTGTTTCGGTGGTGCGAAAGAAAGTCGGAGCCAGTTTACTAGCCCAAGGGGAGACAATGCTCTTCAAAGCAGCACAGAAAAATGAAAATGTGCACTGCGCGGTTGAAACTGTATCACTGGGGGGCCAAGGCGCCATTTCGTATAGCAAAAGACCAATCGACGAGCTCAGTAGTACGTAACGTTGCCCATGGACAAGCTTTCGTCAGACTGCGCGTACAAGGGATTTTGATCAGGCAAGGGAAACAGGCACAAGAACGTTTTTCGAAATGGAGGGTCTGTAACATTCGGCGAATGGGATCGCCGTGGTCTACTCGATGAATTGGTGAGCTTGTTTCGGTGGTGCGAAAGAAAGTCGGAGCCAGTTTACTAGCCCAAGGGGAGACAATGCTCTTCAAAATTTCCAATCAATTTTGAATAAACTTGCTGTGTTTATGTATGTTGCTGTGTACTTTTCAACTGTCGAATCAATTTTTTAGTACTTTACATGGTGTTTAATATGTCAAACATTTAATGTGCATTTCGAGTACAAAGTTTTATCGTGAACTGAGCAAGTTGCAAAGTAAATTAGCATATCAGAATAATCTGGGTGCAGAATTGAATACAATATAATGTAAATTGATGTTGTTTGAATGAAACATTTGAATTGAACATTTGAATAAAAGTTATGACAAACTTAAACATCAACGAGTAAGTTTATGTCAAGTGGGGTTTTAATTGTGAATGTTAGATATGCCATAACTTTTGCTCAAATAGGCTTAGAATGTCCATTCTTGTTCTCTTGTATGCAGTCCTTATTCTAGATTATTCTGATATTCTGATTCGCTTTGTAACTCCATGATTAGGAAAAAATTATGTCGTTACAAAACCATATGAAATATTTAATACAGTAAAGACCACTATGCACTTGAAACATATTTGCACATTGGAAATCAGTGCACAATGAACATAATCTTAACAAGCTTTGTCGAAATCGATTAAGATTAAAAACAAAAGTTTAGCGTAGTACATGACGTTCCTAGTTGTCTGTGTCTGATCCCCTATTTCTTGCTATGCTTGTTTTCCGTAAGCACTAAATATGACTGTTTTGTGCTGCAAGTGTGGTTAATGTGTTCGACTGTGCCATTCTCTCTCCTGTGGAGCAAAAGAGATGCACTTAAACATTGCTTTCAAGTCATGTGTAAAGGTTCATGAAGTGAATTCACTAGAGATGTCATTGTGAAAGTGAAAGACCTAAAATTTGGGCAGATATATTCCCTTGCAGTAGTGTGTACTATTTGAGGTACATGATTTATCATCTGTGCAGAGCGAGAGCTGAGCCCTCCAAGGTCTCCATCCAGTGATCCGGAAAGTGATGAGCCAGAAGGAATGCGAGGCCTTCCACAAGTAGTGATCCTGACGCCCAAGCGGGTCTACCCGCCATTTTCACCACCCTCCTTGAGACCAGGGGCTGTGCAAGAGCAAAGCCAAGAATCAAGGCCAGAGCCGATGCCAGAGCAGAGTTCAGAGCCAAGACCCGAGGAGCGTCCAGAGCCAAGTTCAGAGCTTGAGCGCATTCCCCAGGAGCAAAGAAAAGAGGCCAGTGACAGTGAGGGAAATAAATGTGCCACAGCTGGCAGCCATAAACGGCGACTGTCTTTAGACGAAGCCGATTCTGAGGAAGTAGCCCAGAAGCGACCCCACGATGACAGCGAAAGCGAAGCAACCGGTGCCCCTGCTGATAATCTCGAAATGCACACACGCAAAACAAGACTATGATTTTATAGCTGGATGCATCTCAAATTGGTGTGTTTTTGTGTGTGTGCATATACATTCGTGCGTTTGCATGCGGGAAGTGCCTGTCGTGGCCACTAAGTGTGTGCCCAGCAATTCGTCCACCTGCTAGCACGCCTGCGTGCTGGCTAGTGATGTGTCGCAGCTGAGTGATGTCATTGTGGCACGGAACTCTGCAGCTCTTTCCAAGTCTTCACATCAGTATTTATAGCCATTTTCATGACAACAGCATGTGTGCGTGCAGGAAGACAGACTGAAAAAACACCCCTCTTGGAAGATACAATGCTGAGACACGTGATGTCAAAGTTGCATTAACACGTTTTGTCTTGTAGTGTAGAGGCGTAAGCCTAGCAACGTCGCACTGCCAGGAACCACGATAACCTCTCTCTCATTGGCTTGCTTAGTGTGAGAAGCGGCAGTGATGGTAGTGAAATGTGATACACCCTTATATGGGTTTCTGTAGACACCACCCCTGTGTACTGAATGTTCACAAGAGAACCCAGTTATTCAGCTGAGTTTCCAGTACTACTTGTGGTTGTGCGTTGCACAATAGCATGGCGAATTTCGACATGCATTTTTGTGGCACTTGTTCCTAAAATTTGGGAAAGCAATGGTCTCCACACACGATACAATGTTTTATTCAGGCATTGTGGCTACTGCCTCGACCACTGCCCCCATTAAAGTTCTAGTTTCTTTGTGTATATTGTGCAGTAATGTTTTGAATTCAAATGTGCTGTGCACGCTTTCCATTTATGAGCCTGCTACTTTTTTTTCACGAGTTTTCTTTTATCATGGAATGTTTTAGCGGCAGGGACATTGCAATCTTCCGTTCTGTTTGCTTAAAATCTTAAATAGCATATATCGCGAAGCAGCACATTGTGTGCTGCCTATTTTTAAGGGTGACTTAAGGCAACTGCAGTTGGTGTTTTTGTACATTGTACAAGATTACAATTTTCCTATTTCTTTCACCTGTTTGTGTCATTCTCTCAGGTGCTTGTGGAAATCACTGCCATTGACAGGAGTATATTCGAATGAGGCAACGTTGGAAGCCTGTTTAGTTTTCTCACTTGCATGAGCCTTCATAATGTGTATAAGGATGCTGAATCATTTCTCCCTAATGTTTCTGTAATATTATTTTGTTTTAATATTGTAATATTATTTTTGTGTGTAGTGTTCTTGTTTTGTGTGGCATAAAAATATCTGCCAGGAGCACTACAGTGCAGAGTGTAATTTCAAGCTGTTGTGTGCTAGAGCAACGCCGCTCAGCAGTTTTTCCCCACTTCACGTAGCTCTCAGGATAATTTTTGTCGGCATGTTAGTACTACGAGTGACTGGTGGTTAATGTTTTTTTTTTTTTTTGCGAGGTCCAACAAACTAGTTTGAATTGTACAAAGCTGGAATAATGTATAAAATAAAATGATTTTTATGTGGAACCATTTGTTAGTTGAACCAGTTTATAAAGAACCTCCATATAATGAAGATTTGATGAAGTTTTTCTATTCCCCGCCGTTGCTCCATCGAAGCACGTGTATTTGCGACCTCTATGTAACAAAGCACTAACAGAGGGACACAACCTTGTAAACTAATTTTCCCCACGGACAATCGAGGAATTTCGCCCTGTAGTCTGGCATTTCGGTACAAGCATGGATAATCCACGGCTGCCCCGCCGTCGACAAAGTGCAAAGCGGCAGTGGGGTGCACAGCACACCAGGCGAGAGTAAGCGCGAGGTGGGCCTGCTCCATGAGTCGGCAACCTCGGGTGCATGCACAGATGTGCATGCTCCCCCCCCCCCCCCCCCCCGCAAGTAAAAAAAAAGAACTTACTAATTTTGCATTGACAGAGCCACACCTTTAGTTAGCATCACATATATGGGGCTGCAATGCATATGGAGGGTGCTTTAACCAATAGTTTTCCCGGGGTATCTGTTCTGTGTCTTTCACTCTTTGTTTTTGATGCCATGCGCACGTGCGTGGTTTCACTGCACACGCATGGTGTGGTCACCGAAGGCGTTCAGCTTTGCTTTTTTTTTTTAATAGCGGACAACTGTGTCGTCACCACTGAGGGGATGTCAGAATAGGCACTGGTGGAAACTCTCCAAGACCATGGTGATGACTGATCATGCGAGATCGACTCGAAACGCGTTTCCGTTTTGCGCCGTCCCGCAAGTTCGTAAGCTCATAGCTTTCACCGTTAGCCGATTAGCTCTGGCAACAACGCGACGACATGTTGAATACAATGCAATGAATGCGATAGTGAAAAAATTGTAATGTTATACGAAGCAAGGTTGGCAGCCAACTCTTTTGAATCCGATATTGCGGAACACCTACAAAATGCTGGTGTGAGAGAATGTGGCCACTCCAAGGAGAAGTGCTCTTTTCACTCAGTCTTTTTGCGTTGAAAGCGCACTGATATTTGCCGAGATAGCATGCGTGCAAGTAACTGCCCTTAAAATCAACGTTCACTGTTGCTACCTGAGTGATCTCCCCTCCCCGCGTTTTTTCATGCTAAATCAAGATGGGTGGTTTCCTTTCTGTTCAAGTATTCGACGGCGATTCTGACCCGTGGGAGATGTTACCTGATACACCTTCCAGGTAATAGAGATTGCTCGACTCATTTGATCTTTGGTTGAGTAGCACTCGCGCTCTTTTACCCGCTTGTGAAAGTTACGATGCGTGAAGGCACGTTATAATGTTCATGGTTGCTGTTGAAGCAGCGCAAGAAGACAAGTACAAAAGGAAGGAAAGGGACACAGCATGTTATCAATTTACACTTGTTACGAAGCATGGCGGCGACTGTAAAAAGCCGCCGAGCGTCCACATAATTGTTTATCGAAATAATAACGCAATTTTCTACTGTGAAATAAGTGTTTTGGGTTAGCTCTGCCTTCAGTCCCCCTTTTGTTTAATTTGTGTGTTTATTTTATGAATTTTCATACCGAACCTGCATATAAGGAAATGCTTTTTATAACAAATTTTTCCGGGAATTTATCAATTTTGTTATATCTAGGTTTAACTGTATCTCTCTATGCATTCTTGAAAGTGAAGGCTCTACAAATGTTCTAAGATTGATGTGTGTATAAATCATGGTATAAAAAAATTAATTTAGGTGAGGACATTCTCTATTTACTGCAACGGAGAGCGCGTCGAGATAATGTTTGGCTTTCGTACGTGCGCTGGCCACAGTTTCGTGGGGGGCGCTGCGATATGGAGGCCTAAGGGAGACACTTTTTAAGGAAAAAAAAATAAATATAGTTTTGGGTTCATTAAGTATTACGGCTTGGTGGCGCTAGCCACTGCCAGATCTAAAGGGTACAGCCCCATCCATCCATCATAAGAACCAAGCACAACGAGGCAAATGTGCGTTTTTCTTTATTATTTTTTTAGACTACGAACACTAGGCACTAGAAATGCATATTGCATTTGTTGTAAGCAGAATAAATTGCAGAAGCAGCTTAACACAAGGCAATGATTATACCAAATGTTTTTTGCGAAAAATTTAGTCAATTTAGACTGTGGAGAAGGGGCTAAGTAGGAGAGCCCCTGAAAGTATGTTTTGAGGCTTAGGGTGTAGAATTTAGGTGGGCCAATTCGCCTTTGGCAAACAGCTTGCCTGTGGCAGATACGTGCAAGTTTCAAGCTTTTGCAACCATCTGCTGATGCATGTCAAAATGAGATCTATGAAACATCTGTAAAAGTTCAAAGGAGATGCATTCTTGTATCTTGTGTGGCCCATTTACGGAGTTGACCAAGACCCACACTGATTGGTCAAAAGCCTGCACGTGTTGCTCATTGGCACTCGCAGCTCGCACTCAAAACACGTGCCATACTGCAAACACAGCTTGTGCCACAAAGGTATGAAAGTGGCCTGGGGCAAGAATTGTCTTATTTTTCGGAAGCCCCTAGGGTCTTGGTAATCCTATGCAAGAATAGGGAACCCTGAGTAGGATGCGACGCAGCCACAGGTCGACTGCAAGTTCTGTTTAACGATGCTCCTGATTCATCACCGTATACATTCATAAATGCAGCCACTTTGCGAGCCTTCACCTCAGCCGCACTCATGCTCGTGTATTCATTCATACTACTGCGATGTGTCTGTGAGAGAGGAGTAAGGGCTTTTAATATGCAGCACAGTGCCACCAGGAGTTTCTACTCATACCAGAGCATGCACCAGGGTGGAGCGAGCGCTCTACCCCAGAACCATCTAGTGGGCACTCCGTGTACTAGCGTGGCTATGACGCTGGACAAGCCCCGACCATAAGCTGCTTCACATCTAAAATGCTACATCAACTCGGTTGCACATTTTGCAATGCTGTAGGTCTGTTAGGACCTTTCTTGTCCTGTCCTACTTCCATGGTTGAGGGTGATAAAAAGTTTTTTTACAACTCCATTGCTGCCAATTGCATAGTCATAAGTTCATTATTGTAAAAGAAAATGACGTAAAGGTTCATTAAATTTTACACAAAAATTGTTGCTTTAAGGTGACACCAAAGATTTCAAAGTAGTTTGGTCGTTTTGTTCGATAAATGTTCCTGAAAAGTGCCATTTTAAACAAATCTCTGGTTTTCTAAGAACACAATAAAACCTATCTTCACCAGAAGAATTATCTAATGTGCGTCATGAAGTATATGTAGTTGTGAGCCAGTGTGGAAACCTTCAGGTAGTACTGCCACTGGTATTTTATTTTTGCAGCTTTTCTCACTTGTCAAGTGTCTATGCATGACAGCAGCGATATTTCTAATAATGAAGTATATGTAGTTGTGAGCCAGTGTGGAAACTTCCAGGTAGTGCTGCCACTGGTATTTTATTTTTGCAGCTTTTCTCACTTGTCAAGTGTCTATGCATGACAGCAGCGATCTTTTTAACGTCAAAGCGTTAGAGCTCCTTTCACAGAAATTCCGGTGTCGGCGTCATTTGTTGTGAGCGAAAAATCATCCTCTTATGTGTGACCGAAAAATCGAGAATGATGCAAATTAAATGAATGATAAAAAACCCTGGAGCAGAGTGGGGACCAAACCAGGGTTGCTGGGGTCCAAGTGGGTATCGAACCCAAGTCGTTTGCGTGGCAAGCCGATTTTCTACCACAGAGCCATGCCTCTGCTTGTAAAAACCGTGAAAAGAACTTTCTCTGCTTGGAAATGCAGTGACAGTAGCTTTCGTGCTTCACAAACACATGCGCTTTGTATATATGCTTCACAATGAAACATGACATATTGCAGTAATAACGCGTGGTCAAACCTCCATTGCCAACGGGGGTCAGAATATGCATTTATCATAATGGCTCTGTGGTTGAAAGTTGGTACCCCACTACAAAAGGCACACACGCGACCTTAAGGTCACGTTGTGGGTGTACGGCAAATTCGAAAAGGTTCTATGCACTAAGTGTTTGAAATACGCACTACAAACGGAATGTTGCTATCACGTTCAACTTCTAAAGACGAAGCTTTAGGGTCCCCTAATTGTTTTGTTATTGTGAATAGCGAATTGAATAATACAAGTGATAGAATTTAGCTCATTTATCGTTCCTATATGATACTGAGATCTAGTTTACAGACTGGTGTTGAACACAGCAGGCACGCATGAGAAGGTACAGGTTATGGTCAAAATGTAACAGCAAGTCAAATGAACAAGATTTATTGAACATATTAGCATAAAGCATTGAAATGTTTTAAAATGAGCTCTTCTTTCGTTAGTGCATCAGTACCAGTAAGGTTTTCATGTATTGAAGGCATTATAGCAGGCCTCTTCATGACTGTCACCTGTCCCAAAATGATGTCCTTTTATGCGAGACAATATTACAACAGACCATCATAATCATAATGAAAGGTTCTTTTTAACCTAGGAAAAGTTTTCACTGAGGACTTGCAGAGATTCGTGCAAAATGCGATTGCGATTCTTTCTGCTTTGCACCCACGAGAACTGTATTGTGGCTTGCACGAAAAATGAAAACTATCAAGAAAGCCTGTCCTTACTTTTCAGATGGCTCCGTAGAGTGAGCAGCCGCACATGTAAAAGCTAACCTTTCCTTCAACCAATCTCAATCGGCCTAGTGTAGCCAGACAAATAGTTGCTTCACAAAGTAATTTGCGACACTACTTTTTGGACAAGCCCTATAAGGTAGCTTTACGAAATCGGTAAGTGCACAAAGATGTGAACAGGAAGACTACACACAGAGTGCTCTGTGTGTCATGTTGTTTCTGTATTCATGCGCATACCAGTTTCATAATGTCATTGTACCAACTAGCTTGGACCAAGCCTCCGATTCTGTTAGGTAGCTGTTAAGATTGCATAGCAGAGTTTTACATGCACCAGCTGACTTTATTGAAACCAAACTTCATTAGGAACGCAACTGTTTTTTTTTTTTTTTAACAGCTCGAAGCTTATCCCAGGTGAACTGAAATGATGCATAGTGATGATACCCTGTAAGCCACATAAG